TGCAGCACGCCCAGCGCCCTGCAGAACCACATCTTCCCAGTGCATGGATCCAGGAGCTCTGGGAGCCCAACGTTTGCACTCTGGTGGAAGGTGTTCTCTTCTCCATCACAGCCCCGTCTCCCAGGGGCTGTGCCGCTGCACGGTGCAGACTCGCCGAGTCCTGCTTTGTGCCCTGCTGCTGCCTGGGTGAAGAGTTTAAGAGTTTGTCTTTAATCCCAAAGTTACTCCATGGGTGCAATTCATTTGACCTCTCTGCTTCTCCCTCCGCGACTCTGAGCACAAAGCAGCGGGACGTGTGTGTATTCACTGGGTCTGTGCTTTCAAAAACAAGCCTCTGCTTTTTTTTTTTTTTTCTTTGAAAAAAAAATCTTTCTTATCCTTTAGGAGAGTAACGAGCGCAAGCCGTCTTTTTAATGAAGCGCAGCTCGCACAGCCGGTGCCTGCGAAACGCCACTTAAACATCCTCCGAGTGTTTGTGAGAACGTTGCAATAACAAAGTGCTCCGTGCGGCTGGAGAATGCCGCGGGAACAAAAGCCACATCAACAGAGCAGGGACTAGGGAATACTAAATAGTTGACAGGAATTTTAATATAAAACTCTCTCCCTTCCTTGTCAGTGGAGGGTTCTCAGGAAGCCCTCTGGCTTATCGTAAAGCGGCATACAGCGCAGCCAGGGGCCGGGGAGGTGAAAGGTGGCTTCCTGCCATTCTTCTCGGGAGCTGGGTTCCCATGGGCGGTCATGCCAGTTTGACTGGGGTTTGTGTCACGCTCGTGGGATAGAAGGAGATCGGGATTACGGCTGCTTTGCCGGGGGGACTGGATTTTCATGGGCTAACGGCGAGTCGAGGGTTTTCCCGCCATGAACCGCTTCAATGGACTCTGCAAGGTGTGCTCGGAGCGGAGATACAGGCAGGTCTGTACCTCCCGATGGGGAAAAAAATCCGTGTGGCAGTGTAGCTCCAAGTCTTGGTTAAGTTTATGGGTGTCTGTGGGTGTTGTTACCATTTCTGGGCTGTGTGTGCTATTTCTAGGGTGTTGATTTGCTATTCTTATGATTTACAAATGGTGATGATAGCAAATATCACTTACAATAATAGTAGATAATGATAGCAAAAAATAATTTATTGGGAATAGAAGGAAAGCATCTCAGAGAGGTGTCTGTGGCTGATCTCTGCCTGTTGCTGCCGTGTGTAAATGGGGATAGAGGGGGAGCATTTGCTGGGCACCTTGAGGGGAGCATGCCGACGGTGAAAGCATTAAGCTGCAAGGTGTTCTCTCAACTAGCCGAGCAGCAGGCACAGCAGGAGCTAAGTCTCTGCCAGGCTGCTACTATCTCTTCTAAAACTAGTTTTAATGTGAATATATTTGGTAATCAGGCGTTGCTTGAAGCTGGTTACAACCAACAGCGACTTGCTCCATGGGGAGCAGATTGCTGTGCTCCAAAAGCTGGTGTGCTCCTCTTCTCCCTGCTCTGGTTTTGCTGGTTTTGCTTCTGCGGGTCCCAGCCTCCTGCGCTTTCAAACGCAATTTTCCCTCCGTGGTCTGGGTTGGGGCTCCCAGCTCGTGGCCAGTTCTTCCCTGCACTCTTGTGCTGATCTTCCATGTCATGCCAAAGCTGCTGGGGGGAACAGGGTATACTGGGAACAGCACCAAGAACCAGCTTCACTGCAAATGCCCACTTCTTGCTGGGGCCGTGGTGACCACCTCGTGCAGGAACACTGCTCTGCTCTGTGTTAGTGACAACTGACTGTGGTTTGTGTCTTAGACCTCCTCAGTCCTCTATTTTGACAATTTCTTCTGCATTTTTGGGTAATGGGTACAGTGAGCCTCTGCGGTGCTGGAATCTCTTAGCATCTTGCCGCCCACCTTCCAGCCTGTGTCAGATGCTCGTATTTCTTAGTTCTGTGCCCAGCAGCAGGAGTTGGATGCTCTGCTCCCTGTACCGGCCGTGGCGGTGGGAGCTGAGGGCGGTGAAGCACCAGCAGTGAGCAGCTGCTGTTCAGTGGCACGGGGACGGTGTCTCCTCTGGCTGGGGACAAGAGCCAGCTCGGGGAGCAGTGGGAGACCTCTTGGCTCTGGAAGGTGACCGTGGAGCCTCCGTGGTGGGAGAGCTGCTGGGCTGGCTCCTGGGGTGCCGATGGCGACACTTCGGTAGCACTCGGATCCCCCGTGCGTTATATCGGAGACGGGAGGTTGGTGCGAAGGTGCAGAGCCCCAAGCACCCTCCTCCTCCTCTGAGGATCCAACAAACTCCAGAGAGAAAAACACTCTGTGTAGTGGGACTGGACCTACTTCTTCATCCTGGCAGGGAAAGACAGTTTCTCTTTTGAAGCCTGATTTTTTGCTGAGCAATCGAGCAGGGACGAGGTGCAGAGCAGTGAAAGCTTGCTGCGTTTGCCCTCCTGTGGTAAAGGGAACCAGTTCCCCTCCTCGGCAGCTTTGCTGAATTCCTCGTCTTCTCTCTGGCTGTTTGTTCTCAAAATAGTACAGGTCAGATGTTGGATGATTTCTTTTCATTTCTCTGACAGTAAAACAAGGATCTTGACAAATATCTTGGGGGATAATTGGGTATTCACAGGAGCTGTCATACTGAGCAGCTGCTGGAAGCCAACATCAAAAAATAAATATCATTTTATTAATAAGCTTAGTGATGCTTGAATCAGGAGGAGAATTGAGCCTAAATTAACACAGCATCCATCCTCTTCAAACCCAGCAAGAGAAAACACACTCCCCCCAGCTCACGGGGCGATGCACACCGAGCCAGCACGGATCCTCGCAGACAGGAGCACACCCATCCCCGCGGCTTCCTCCGGAGCAGGGGAGTGCTGCTATTTCTGTGTCACCCGTCTGGAAACGGAATGAGAAGCTGTGTTAGAAACCAGTGTCAGAGCCAGACCGCCAGGTTTTCCTTTCCAATGGCTTATCAGACTTTACCTTCCACTTGCAAGAGTGGAGACTCGTGTGCTCAGTAAACACTCATTTTGTGGCATTCCTCTCCGTTGATCCTCGGCTCGATTTCACATTGCTTTTAGCACCCTCCCCACCCCTCTTTGTCTGCAGCAGGGGACAGACCCACTGTCCGTGGGGTTCATAGAGTGACAGCGTTCCCTGTGACCATGGGCTCTGCCACCGCCTCTAGAAATGCCGTGTCTGCGTTTCCAGAGGCTGTGTGCAGGGCAGCGTGGGGGTGAAGGGGGGATGCTCAGCACTGGCTGCTTTCCCCCTTACCAGGGTGACTCCGGTGTCTCTCTTCAGATCACCATCCCGCGAGGAACCGATGGGTTTGGTTTCACCATCTGCTGCGACTCCCCCGTCCGCGTGCAGGCAGTGGACTCTGGTAAGAGATTGGATCATTTTTATCCCTCTTGATTTGAATGAATGGCTCTGCTCCTTTTTTGCTTCCTGGAGCATGTTGTGATTCAGAAGCTCCCATGCTTCTGTATCTTCATGCTTCAGGGCCACGGAGATGGTCCGAGGCTGGAGCAGCTCCCGTGCGAGGACAGGCTGAGAGAGCTGGGGGTGTGCAGCCTGGAGAAGAGAAGGCTCCGGGGAGACCTTCCAGCACCTTCCAGTGCTGAAAGGGGGCTACAGGAGAGATGGGGGGGCTCTGGATCAGGGGGTGCAGGGACAGGACGAGGGGGAATGGTTTAAGCTGAAAGAGGGGAGATGAGATGAGATGTGAGGAAGAAACGTTTTCCTGTGCGGGGGGTGAGGCAGTGGCCCAGGTTGCCCAGAGAAGCTGTGGATGCCCCATCCCTGGAGGGGTTCAAGGCCAGGCTGGATGAGGCTTTGGGCAACCTGGGCTAGTGGGAGGTGTCCCTGCCCATGGCAGGGGGTGGCACTGGATGGGCTTTAAGGTCCCTTCGAACCCAAACCAGTCTGTGATGCTACTTCTTGGGGCACTCTAGTTACCTCCGAGAAACTTCCCTTAATGAATTCTCTGTTGCCTCTAATGAGGTCGGAGGCCACCGGGTTAGCGCTGTGTCACTACTTGGGCAGTGTGTTGCAGTAATTTGCAGAGATTTTGTTCCCTTCCCTGTTCAATCTGCAAACTGGCTGGTTGGGAGACCAAGGGAGAGCATCCATGGGGGGTGTCAGAGAGGGGCGCAGATGGGAGCAGGGTCCCAGGAGCCCTCAGCTGCCTGAGTCTATCCCCTGGTGTGGACCTGCGGGATGGGCTGGATGTCTCTGTACCCTGGTGCTCCCCACCGCACACTGGGAAATGTGGGAACCTCATGCAATAGCTCCGAGAGAACATTTGTGGCTTTGTCCCAAGTGCTCTGTGTGCACACACGTGCGTGTTGGGAGGTGAAACTGGTCCCACTTTGTTCTCAGGCATGAATGCTGGGGAGCAGGTTGGGTTTGGAGGAGCGAGGGGTGCACGCTGTGCTGCTGGGGTGTCCCCCCCCCTGCTCCCAGCTCTGTGTCCAGCAGGTGACTGGTGTCTGTCTCCTCTTGCCGTAGGTGGCCCAGCAGAAAAGGCTGGTCTGCAGCAGCTCGACACGGTGCTGCAGCTGAACGAGCAGCCGGTGGAGCACTGGAAATGCGTGGAGCTGGCTCACGAAATCCGGTGAGTGTTCACCCAAAGCATCAGTGCAGGATGCTGGGAGAGACGGTCTGAGGGAGCTGAGGGCAAGGGAGCAGGGGCTGTGAGCGGCTGCAGGAAGGGGAAGGATTGGAGGGATGCAGGAGCCTGGGAAAGGACTGTCTGGGGTGGAAAAAGAAAGGATGCAGGGGCTGGGGAGGGCAGGACAGGGGCAGAGGCATTAGAGGGAGGAAGGACTGCAGGGCACATGGCTGGCTGAATGATGTGGGGTGCCTCTCTCCCTTCTGCCCCATCAGTCATCTCTGACGTGCCCCATCAATCATCTCTGACTTGCCCCATGCCATCTCTTTCAGGAACTGTCCCACTGAGATCATTCTGCTGGTCTGGAGGCTTGTCCCGCAAGTGAAGTCAGGACCCGAGGGCATGATCCGCAGATCATCCTGCAAGTCTGCCTATGACCTCCAGTCACCACCCAACAAGCGGGAGAAGAACAGCACCATGCCTCCGCGGCCCGAGCAGCGCCGGAGCTGCCATATACTGTATGATGGGAGCGACGGGCTGGTGCTGAACGGCTGGGAGAGGTACACGGAGATCGGCAAGCGGAGCCAGAACACCATGCCACCCCTGTCGCAGGTCCCCTCCGCTGCAGACCAGAACTACATCATCTTAGCGCCTTTGAACCCGGGGAGCCAGGTGAGGCTGCTTTCCAGCCCCATGCTCGAGTTCCTGCAGGTGGCTGTTGGCTGTGCTTGCTGGATCATCTCTAAATGTTTGATGGAGAGCATCATCTCGAAATGTTTGCTAGAGCAGGTGCCATTGTTACAAGTCAGACCTTGGTGGAACCCCCTTGGTGGAGCTTTCACTATTTTTCTAAGACATTTACCAGGAGGACTGTAGAGCTGAGGTGAACGACCCGCTGCCTCTTCCCAGGGCTCACTCGGGGGTTCGGGGTATGGGAAATATTCCCACTGCGTAGACCACTGTGCAAGTCATTGCTCTCATTTTCTGCTGGTGTTAGAGCAAAAAACGATTTTCACTTCTCTGTGGTGCTTCAGCTTTGCTGGGTTTGGCATGCTAAAAATTAAAAATTTGGAGTAAAGTCTTATCTTGAGTCTACTTCAGGTGACTGTGTCCTGGGTTGTGTCTTACAGCTGCTGAGGCCTGTCTACCAAGAGAACAACACTACTGCGGGTAAGTTGCTGATGTGCTGAAAACACTGCTGAGGGCTCCCAGCAGAGCTGAACACGGTCCTTCTGGTGCTGGCGCATCCTCGCCCTTAGCCCTGCGATGCTGCAGGGGAGTCCCTCACGTTTCAAGGACAGAAACCTGGGGCTTTTCTCAGATAATCTTCCTACTCTTTGCATCAAACATCAAAGCAAGAGCCCTGTCCCCCAGCCCAGAGGACAGCACTGCTGCTGGTGCCACGGGATGAGCCTCGTGGCGAGAAGGCTGCTGGAGGAGGGGGGCTGGTGGCAGGGACTTTCCATCAGGGGCGTGATGAAGGCGTGAAGTGTGAAAGTGTGAAGTGTAGTTGTTGTGGCAGTTCCCCAGATGTGTCTTGGGCTTCTCTGTGATGCTTCTTGTGCGTGATGCCTTGCTGGGGGTGCTGGTACTGTGGCCACTGCTTTGAGTTTCGTTTGGTTGCTAAGGGCGTGAGGATGGCCGTGACTCAGATGTGTATCCACACCAGTGCGAGCTGAAGTGCCAGCTTTGGGGACCGCTCATTTCCTGGGCTGCTGCAAGGTCTCTGGCAGCCTCTGGACCAGCTCTCCTCAAAAACCTTTTGGAGTGTTAACTCATTTCTGCAATGCTTGGGCTTCCTGGAGAACCAAGGGCTCGCAGTAGGAGCAGGGTGAGCTGTGCGGCACTGTGAGCATCCTGGGCTGCGAGAGGGGGAGCAGAGACTGGCACAAGCTCTCCCTGACACCAACAGGTGACGGTCATTTCAAGGGGGAAACTGGGGACAGAAACAACCCAGGAACAGTGAGCCCTGGAGGTTGTTCAAGCTGTTGAACTTGAATTTGCAGCATGCCCAGCTCCATGCAGAGCTGCCTCTTCCCAGTTCATGGACCCAGGAGCTTCGGGAGCCCACGCTTGCACCCTGGTCAGTGAGGATGCCCTTGGGATGAGCTGCGTGTCCATCACAGAGCTGAGCTCCTGGCCACGATCCTGCAGGGAGAGCAGTCCCTCCCTGGTGTGGGCGCAGCTATCGGCACAATTTCCAGCCGGAAAATGTTGTGCTGCCTGTAAAGGTGGGGCAGTATCCATGGAAGGTAAAGTGTGGGGCAGGCAGAGCTGTGGGGGGGATGCTGGGGAGCAGTGTGGGTCCGAGGCCCCTGTGCCTTGGATGCTGCCAGCCCTGGAGCTCTGCAGCCAGAAGGATTTTCCGCAGCAGGGATGTTTTGCACCGCGGATAATTGCGACTCCTTCCTGCTGTTTGCAGGATGAGCTGGACCGTGGGGACCTGTTCTTACAGCAGGGTGGAATTTGAAAGACTTGGGCTTCTTCCCAAGGCAATTCTTAGTGATTATTTTCACTTTAACATTAAGCCTTCAGAGGGTGGAATGCACTCGTTAAGCTGAGCAGGGATGAAGCCCAGTGGTGCGGAGCTGGTCACTGCTCACACGGTGACAGGAGCCGACGCTTCGGTTGGGCTGGATGTGTTTCTGTGCCAGTGTGTGGAAAACAGGACTTGTGCAGGTGATGAATTCTTCTGATAAAACTGAAAAGCAGATCCCCAACAGCCCAGACAGATTGTATCTGTCCCGTGTTGAGCTCTCTGATGTTTTGATTTTAATCTGTCAGCACAACCATGAAAAAGGGAAAAGAGGAAAATGTCGGGATTATTGCACTTAGAGTTAGAAACAACTTTTTAGGTCACGAGGGGCACCCCCCTGCAAGGGCAGGCAGCTAAAGCAAGCGGTAAACAGTGGGGCTGGGTTGCCAGCAGAGCACGGTCTGGCTGTGCTGACGTTTATCTGAAAGTCAATGTGCTATTTCCTGATGCTTAATGGAATAGGTAATGTTGGGGAGGTTCGTGTGTTTGCTTTGGACCAGCCCTTATCTGCTCTGAGCCATGTTCAGAAGTGTTTTGTCTCGTTTCTGCCTGGGAAGGTGATGGGTATCTGTCCCAGCCGTGGTGCCGAATGCTGCTGTGGGGGGATGCTGGGGGGTCTCTGCTGGGACACCCCTCTGGCTGGGGCCCCCGGGAGGGTTTGCTCATTCGTGTTCCTGCGATATCGCTGTGGGGCAGGATCCTGGGCTAACGCTCTGGTTTCTCACCTGAATGTGTTAAAATCCAAGTGGAGAGTTCTGCCTGCGGGACCTGAGCTGCTTTGGTCAGAATGATAGAATCACAGGATGGTTTGGGTGGGAAGGGACCTGAAAGCCCATCCAGTGCCACCCCCTGCCATGGGCAGGGACACCTCCCACCAGCCCAGGTTGCTCAAGGCTTCATCAGGTTCAGCGGGAAGGGAGAAAATGCTCCAGTTTTTCAGTGGGGCTTCTTTTGAAGGAGGCGTGAATTTTTGGTTAGAGACATGTTCAGTTCCTGTTGGACTTGTTGCCTGCAAGTTTTAGGACAGTGTGTAGGTTGCTGGCGCCCAGCAGGATGTGGTCTGGGGTTAAGGGCTCTTGGGGACCATGGATCTGTCCCACCTTCTGTCCCCAGCATGGTCGGTCCTGCTGCTGCTGTGATGGGAGCTGGCGTACAGCAGGAGAGAGGTGCACTGTGGGCCTGGGGACACCAGGGACGGCCACAACTGTACGCTGGGGTCACCTAATGGGTTAATGTCATTACTGGGAAATGTTTTACAACTGCTCCCTGCTCGGCAGCCAGGCTGTCCCTACACACCCGAGAGCAGAGCAGCCCAGCGGGCAGCAGCCCAGCAGCTCCTTTCTGGTCCCGTGTGTTGGTCTCATCCTGGCTCTGCATGATGGGTCTGGGCAGAAGGATGTGTAAAGCTGTCCTGAGCCCTGCTGCCTCCAACAGATCACCCACCACACCGTCCAGTTGCTCCCAGCCAGGTGTGTGTATGGCTCCAGCTCCCTGTGGTCCATGATGCTCTCGCCTTGTTGCGCTGGTGCTGGGAACATGGTATTTTCTATCCAGATAAAGCATCTTTGGAGCACCCCACATTCTGTGCCTGCGCTTGTGAGGCAAAACGCTGGTGGGAGCTGGCTGGATATATTCAGAGGTGTTCCTCTGAGCTGAAGGAAAGGGCTGAGCAATCTATAGAGCACAGATTGTCTGGCAGCAGTGGAAGGACGGGCTCGTCCATGCAGCAGCTAGCAGGGAATAAGGTTAATTGTTGATAATTATCAATAATGCTTTTAATCACAGGGTTATCAATTACATGAGAGATTCTGGGGCTGGCTGACATACCACTGAATGTCTCCTGGCCTCTTGCAATGCAGACCACTGGGTGTGGAGGGGCCGCAGTAGCTGGTGTTGGCTTGTTGGGAAATGTCACAGCTCTGCTCGACCGGCTGAGGCTGCAAAGGGACATCGCTGCGTGTAATCCCTCCTCGGGGTGAGGATAACGGCCTTCTGCGATGGAGAGGGACAGAGCAAAAAACCAGCCAGGCTGCTCGGACTTTTTCCAGCACTGAAATGTAATGCTGAAAACCAGTGGAAGATGTGCCACCCTCATGCAAAATGAGGTCATCCTTTATAAATACACCCCCAGGTCTGAGTAACCAGCACATCCCGGGGAGGGATGTGGAAAGGCGTGGATTGATCCCATGCGCATGAATGCGTTTATCACTTCTGTCCTGTTCTCTGACACCTCCAATCTCAGTGTCTTCTAAAAACTGTGATTAACCTGCCACCCAGCGCTCCATGATGTGAAATTCCTGCACTTTGCGAACTCCCATGGCCAGAATCCAGAGCAGGCAGGACTAGTGTGGATATAAAAATGTTCCAAGGTTTAAATTTCCAGTGTTGTTTGTTGTGTGTTGTTTTTTTTTTTGTTTTGTTTTTTTTTTCTTCTTCTCCCACCCTGAGTTAGCCACAGATGGTTTTCCCCTCCGTGGAAAGGGAAGGGTTCAGAGGTGTGGGCAGGTATTCCCTGATGGTGGGAAATCTCCGTGGTGCTCCTGTGACTCAAGAATTACTGTTTGAAGTCATGTTTGGGGTTGTTCTGTATTTCTTATTTCATACTTTCAGTACTGCATAGGGAGGTGTGTGTAATTAGTACCCCATCTCTTCCTCCAAAGCACCGTATCCATTGCTGTGCCTTGCTTGGGTTTTCGTTTGTACATAGATGATGTGTTTGTACGTGATGTGTTTGTGCTGCCGGTGTGATCCACTTGGTTCAGCAAGTGGCTCTTGATGGAGCAGAAATGTCAAGGGACTTCTCATTTTGCATTAGGAAAATGAAGTCAGTGCTGTTATTTCATGAATCTCTGGGAAACTCTGGTAGCAGAGTGACGGGTGTCCTTGCAGCTCTCGGCTCCAGCTGTTCCCCGTGGGCTCTATGTGCCCTCCTCAGCCTGCGAGAGCAGGACCCGGGCTGGCAGCGTGCAGCAGCTCTGCGGGAGCTGCTTCTGATTCTGTTCTGCTTCCCCTGTCGCTCTAGGAAATGCGTGTAAAGGGAAAGCACACACAGGGTCTGGGAGAAAATCCAGGCTGATGAAGACTGTGCAGACGATGAAGAGCTACGGGAACTACCAGAACTGCACCATAGTGAGGCCACACATCCCGCACTCCAGCTACGGCACGTACGTGACACTGGCTCCCAAGGTGCTGGTGTTCCCCATCTTCGTGCAGGTAAGCGCGGCCGGACGCGAGGTGTTGTAGTTTTACACACAGCCGCTCGCTCACCCTCCTGCATCCTGGGGATGGGGAGAGAATTAAAGGGGGGAAGGGAAAAGAGACGCATGGGGTGAGATAAGAACAATTTAATAACTAAATTACAATAATATTGGAAATAATAACAATGATGATAATAATAGTAATATATACAAATGAGTGCTGCACAGTGACACTGCTCACCACCCCATGACCAAGGCTCAGCTTGTTCCTGGCCAATGATCCTGGAGCAGGGAGAGTCCTGAAACCACAATCCCAGAACGGAGATAAAACCCGAGAGACTGAGATGACCCTGAGAGAGG